TGTGGGAAGGCAGATAGGCAGACCAACCCCGGCTCACACGTCGCACTACATGCGAATGCCGTCTAGCCAGCATTCAAACAGTCAGTCAATCGATCAATCGATTTGGTCACAGGCATGTATGAACACAAATCAGTCAGTTGGAGGCCACAACAAATATCAATCAAGGAGCAAATTGACGATGCGCAGGTTGGCAGAACATATGCACTTAAGCTGCAGGCGCGTATGCAGCAGTCGAGTATATGCTGCAGCAGTTCGGCCAGTGCTGCTCTACGGTGCAGAGACTTGACCACTACGGGAACAGGATACAATAGATTTTCGGTGTTCGAACATCGATCGCATTGCACGGGTCTGTTGGGGTTATCGGATGAGTAATGCTAGGGAAGCACGCGAAGAGAAAGGTTTGTTTCACAATCGAGTATGACAGCGTCCAGCAAAATTGTAAAATAAAACAATGACCAAAGACTAGGATCGAGTGCGAGATTGATAAAGGAAAATGTAACATAAGGAATAAATCAATTAGTTTCATGATTTGAAGAAATGGGGCCAAAAAACTGTGGTGATCAAGAGAGCTGAAGCGGATCACGGGACATTTACAGAAACGACTGCGGGCGGTCAATGAACAAGTAGTTAATGATGACCTCTGCAATCGCCTTAAGAACAGGGCGGGAAACGGACATGAAACTTCTAGCATTTATTTTACGTTTGACTTTCAACTACTTGGCAGTAGTAAGGGAAATACTTTACGAATATATTCACAACTCGTCTGAAGCCTTCGTTGCATTAAATGTATCTGGACAGATAATAGAGATTGCACAATTATTTTTCAGAACAATTTCGCTAATACTGAGGAACACGGAATAACGAACACTTATAAATTATCGGTAAACTATTTAATTTCTGCATAGGAAGCTACTAACGGCTTAACTTGAAGATCTGCTAGCATTCTGGTATTTCCGGAGAGAAAAATACAATGAATCGAGCTTCACTGGTGGATGCCAAGTTCTCATTGTGTACAGTACGAATATATAAGTAGACAGGGATTAGTGTTGCTTGATAAATTTAATCAGTGCTTCGAAAGGGACCACTATCAAACTATCTATTGCCATCATTGAAGTACACTGATTAGCCTCTAATTTCATCTACCATCAACTACACTCCTAAAACGAGAATAACCCTAGTAACTACGAAAGTTGACTGATAAACCCTTCTTAATCGAATCTGAGGACTAAAACATCGGCACCTTTTTAAAGTACATCGAATTCTACTAGCCAGTGAAACGCAAAAGAATGCAAACAGATTCGACAATACTCATCAAGAATATCTAACATGAAACTCGTGTACCATGTAATATTGCATAAAATGAAGCCCTTAAAACTTCTGTTTGGAACCAGCTTCAGCAATTGCCTCGAAATCTTCACTATTCAGAGCGACAAAGAATTCCAGGACTGTGAAGAGCCGCTTCAAATCGTCGATCTGATCGATATTTCTCGGGCTCACTATACTCTTACAACAGTGATGCTTTGTTAAGCGAATAATAAACTATTTGATAATTACTTCAAGCACGAAGTGATTTCGACATGATGCGTGTCGAAGATTTACATTATGTGAAAAGGGCCAGAGTATAAGATGGTATTGGATCCTACCACCAATACAACGGAGTCCCACCGCTTTTCTTTCCTCGTGGACTTTTAGTTAACTTTAATCCTGTGCATAAAACGATGAACAGTTAATCTCCTGCTATGTCGCACCCCTGAGAAGTCGCATTTTCCAATATCTTCCAACTTTTTCGAAAAACCAAACGAACCGAATGCTTAATAGCGTAGTTTCTGACTATGTGATGTCGCACCCTTCAATACGTGGCAGTTCGTGATACGTACTCACTTGGTCGTTGATCGAAGTTCGGGACGACCATTGACCATCCACCCTGAAATATCACACTCAACCAATAGCGTTGCACGTAGTGTGACGCGTTCATGGCACTGTTCACTGATTGGATATTCCTTGCGAGGAAGTCACACCGATGCATGGAATCGGAGACAGTGTCATTTGACGGCCAAATTTGCAAGCGTCTATCGATCAGAGAGANGAGAGGCAGAATGTGTTGGAAGTGCTGAAACAAGCAGATGCAACTCAGAGCTCCGTAGCCAAATCACTCGGAATTTCACGAGATTGTCTACAATGTTGTATCTCATCGAACGACTATTGGCAAATTTTTGAACGCTAGAGAATCTGAGGAAACTTGCCATCTGAAAACCAACGAAAACTTCAAGGTAGTGAACGAGGCAACTTTGGCTTGGTTCACTGCTATGAGGGTAAAGCACGGAGAGTTCTCAATGGTGGAGAGCATCGTACGCAAGAAGGCAATCCAGCTAGCGCAAATATTGCAACATAATGACTTCAGGACTTCAAAAGGTTAGTTTCGCTCTTGGTCAGAGAGATATGGTATTCAGTCGTACAAAGTAAGAAACAAGCAACTCATGTGCATTACTTTATATGTCTGTGGGGAAAATTGAGCGGTACCACGTGATGTAGTGGATGAGTTTCGAGCGGGGTTACCGCAGTTGATACAAGGATATGCTGACTAATATTTTCAATGTGGATGAAACAGCGTTCGTTGTATTACAGGCGACTCCCAGAAAGAATATTAAGTCTGAAAGTAAAGACAGTTTCTGGGTCCAAGAAATCCAAAGAAAGAGTCACGTTACTGCTTTGTGGGGGCATGACGGGAGAAAATTTATCACCCTTGGTGATCGGAAAGTTTCAAACTCCACAATGCCTCCGAGGTGTCGACAGAAAAAGCCTTCCATGCAGTTATAATTCTTCAAAGAACGCATGGATGACTTCTACGTTATTTCACAGTTGGCTGTCCAATGTCAACCGCAAAATGGTTTCTCAAAGACGATCTATTTTACTATGTTTGGACAACGCCCCTTGCCATAAGCAAGCCGCAGTATTTTCCGATGTCAAATTGGTACGGCTGCCTCCGAACTGTTCTTCGATGTTACAACCAATGGATAAGGGTCTTCAAATGCTCGTCTCAGAAACAGTTACTGGAATATGTTTAGTCTCTGATCGAAGATGAGCAACTTATCATGAAAGCCGAGGTGGATATTTTCATGGTCAAAAAAGCTTCGGCGTCTGTGCACCTGCACGTACTGATCAACGCTTTCATGAAAGCTGGGTTCAAAGAAACATTGATTCAGCCGGTGATGCAGCCACCAAAGGATAAACGCGATTTGATCGAGGACTTTACTCATTATGTGTCTATTGATGAGCGTCAGTTTGAAGAAGAAATCGCCTGTTTGGAATTTGATGCAGTGGGTAATGTAAAATTCTTGTATCAAGTCTCTTTTTTAGTTATTAGATGAATTCGTTTCGAATAAAGCTAAGCATCACAAAGAAGGAGATCGATGTGAGGCAGTGAATGCGCCGGAAGTTATCTCAATCAGAGAGGCGCAGAAGTTATTGGATCAATTGAAGCTGTTTGCCTTCGCTAATACTCGGAGTTCGGGTCGATTATTGGAGTGTACAACTGATTTAAGCAGCGCGTTTGTTGATTTCCAAAGGAGAGCCAAGCTGAGACAAACGACGATTTATAATTTTGCTGAAAATACATCTTTGTATTCTGCAAAGTTTTGTTGCAATTCTGTGGGGCACTCGAATGTGGTCATTTTTGCTACAGTGGTCACCAAACCCACGATCGTTCGGTCTAGCGATGGGCTCTGTCGCACTAACGTGCAAACGAGTCAACGATAATCGCGGTTGACTGGAAAGCGGGTGAGTGGAGTGAGTGATTGGAGATGTCAGATCCGAGTGATCGATAACCACCGTCGCGCGGACGCGCCTGTGTGAATGAATGAACGATACTCTAGAGCACCGATGAAATTCGGCAGGTCACTAGCCACAGGTCATCGTAACCCGAGTCTAAGGACAGTTTGGAAGATGCGCTTTTAGTTTATGAATCGCTAATTGCTTGAGAGTTGCAATAATTCCTGTAGGCTGGCGTCTATGGCTTTCATTTGGCTGAAAAGAAATGAATTTCTTCCAAGTAAACTCCCGTTTTAAGCCTGCCGGAAAATTTGTGCGAGAACCCGCTTAAAAAAATACTGCGTGTATCTTAGACGGGTTGGCCCAGTGTGATCATTGCTAGAACTTTTTAATTCCGAATGTACCACATGGCGCATTGTTTCACAACTGGTTCTCCTGTGGTGATGCTTTACCAACACTTAAGCAGCATCCGATTCAGAACTTGTATTTCTCCTACGCCGGCCCGAAAATCACACGACCGATCGGGTTCATTAATCGATCGGTCGGATAGGTCACTGAAACAAGAGAACTGGTGCTTGCTCACCTAACCCGAACCAGAAACCACACCTTGTCTACAACCGCGAGTCCTTAGTAGGCCCAGTGAACTTCAGCTGCACAGCAGGCGTGCCCTCACCACAGGGATGGACTGTACATGACAAGATCATCACAGAAAGTAAAAGACAATGTGAAACGATGGTGTAATCGGGCTATCGTACTATCCACATAGCAACATGACACCTTAAATTGACACTCGGATATCTGAAATTAAAAATGGTATGGTTTATGAATAACGTTATGGCATCGCGTGTTGAACTTAGTCCGACCAACAACGGTCATGATGAATGTATCAATCGGTTTGAAAATACACTGGTAACAACAAAAGGGAACGAACGAATAGACGTCTACAGACGATAACGGTACACATTTTTCACTAGAAAATCATGACTAGATTGCGAAACGAACAATCAATTTGAATATGAGAAAGAATTCAATGTTCGAACTATACCCCGTAACAGACATTCCACTCATTTTAGATGTTATTTCCTTCTCGCTGTATTCGAACTGGTGCAGCTTTATTTTCCTTGAATGGGTTAATACTGATGTTATATGTATGTTATGATATATAGCTAAAATAGTCGTATATTATGGTGGACATAGTACAATCCATTCTGTGGTTAGCCTAACATTGCAACGGAATGGAGGAATATCTGTAATTAATATAGGATAATTGGGTCAGAAAAAGTTCCCCTGAAGAAAGGTAGGTAGTTTCGGGATAAATGGACACAGAACTGAAAAAGGGCTGAATACCGCAAGCAATGTACCGATATTAAGTTGAGGGCGTCATAAAAGATCTAAATTTCTTCGATACATAAAGGATACGCCGGACAGCATATCTAAATTCCGTTATAAATAAACAGTTCATGGTCATAAACATCGTGAATGTCTAACGGGATTAGCCTAAATTGTATCGATTCAGGTTATTTTATCACTATATATATATATATATATATATATATATATATATATATATATGCCACAACGTAGTGATCACGCGTGCTCTTAACAACCCGGACACTAACACTGGACCCGCACAAGTGGATACTAGAACACATTGCAGAAGGCATAGGACGGTACATTTGATCTCATATCCCATATCATACAAGTAAGGGCTTTATACAATTCCTGACATGTGCAATGCCCGTGAGGAAAAGGAGGTGGGAAGGAATTATGCTAATGGTGAATGAATTAACGAAGTCCGACCATATGAGTCATTCCCTGAGATTGCTGTTGTTGTTGTTGCTGCTGCTGCTGTTGCGAGTGCATTCTAAGGCCAGCCGTATTTGCGCCCGCTCTTTGTACCGGTTGTCCCGGATGCGCATGAGGATGATGATGGAGATGAGTTTGTTGTTGCTGCTGTTGCATGTCTGATGGCAGACCGGTTGAAGCTGCACCACTGCTCCCGGAATTGGTAGCAGTGATCACCTGAGCTGCATGATTTGCGGGGCCAGCCCCACCTCCACCGCC